AGGCGATGGTTCCCTGAGTGAATTAATGGGTTTCAACCATTTCAAACTGCAGTCCCGGCAATCAGCTAAATGTACAGTTGAAAAACATTTATTTGAACCGATCAACCTGTCAAGAAAAAATTATAATTCTGTTCTACAAGTCCCATGATTCCAGCACCCCTGCCAGTCAGTTCCCAAAGTCAGTTCCCGAACCTCTGATTAAACTTAGTTATGCACAACTCAACACAACAAACAAACAAAAAATCCTGGCCTCCTCTCTGGCTCTGTTCCCTGCAGACTCACAGTTCTGAAATCCAGCGCCAGTCCACTTCTAGGTTTAATATGACCAAGTGTTATGTAACCCACTTCCTGTGAGCCTGCATTGTGAAAGCTCTACCCCCTGGAAGGTCATCATCTCTGCTCTGGACTAACAGGAAAATGCTGTGTAGATCCATGTCATTACATGGCACTGCTCTATATAGTATTCAGTGCCTGTTTATCACTAGATAAGGAATAGGATTTTTTTTTTTTTTTATTGGACTGCTCCAATGTTGGCCTGTGGTTGCCCAGCCTGGAGTTGCACTTTATAGCCTTGTCCAGGACCCAATGAAGCCTGTCATTAGGGAATGAAGGAGCAGTTTTTTTTTTTTTCTTTTTTCATGTGTGCTCTGTAAATACTGACCACTTGTACCTTTGCAGTAAGCAGCCGACATTGAGATAACCAAACTTATAGTGCAGTTATATAATTCACAACTAGAATTGTTATATGAATAGGTACTCCTGTATATTTTACAAATTGTACTTTAATCTGCTGCAGTATACTTTGCTCTGTTCTACTTTGTACAGTAGTTATTTGTTTGCTTGAAGTGATTAGTAAATTATAAAACAGTGATTATTTTCCTAATTCAACAGTATGGAAACAAGCTGTGCTGTAATTAAAGAACAATTACCTGCTTCTCTGTGTCAGTTTACTCTGGAGATTACATTTCTGTAAACCAAAGATTTGAGTAGATGACCTAATCTTTAACTGTGTGCTCCTAATTTACACCCAGAGGGGACATCTAAGTCTAATTACCCCCTGGTGGTAAATAAATATGATTCCCAATGTTCACAGTTTACATTAGGTCTTATGATGGATATATCTAAGACACATTTTGAGGGTGTTTGCGTTTATTCTGCTTTTTTTAATTATTGTAATTGGATATCTTATTAGTAATATTTAAATGTCAGGTTGTATAGTAATGATTAAAATGAAATCTTAAAATTAGTTTGTGTTGTGTTCTGTTTTGATAAATTAGCAGGCCTAGAGCAAAGATAAAATTGAATGTGACATTTTATTTATAAATTTAACAAAAAAGAGAGTCCGTTAGAATCTGTAGAGTTTTACCAGGACAAGTTACTAACTCTATTTTCTCTTTATTTTCATTAATTCTGGATGGAACATGCAATGTTTTTCTCAGTGAGATTGGTTTGTGCTCATTTATGCAGACAAAATACTCAGAGCTTTGTCTAAGTTCATTACTCACTTTGTTTTTGATTTAGCGCCTAAAATGTTATTAGCTACAGAATGACAGTGATAATGTGCTGGCTGGTTTTATCACATTTATTGGCATGTTTTAAAGGTGTTCAACTGTTTTAGATTGAACTATTCAAGGCGTTTTGTTAATGTACACTTGAGAGATTTTAAATGCAGACTTTTTATATACTGTGTATAGTTTGTGAATTAATTTGTGTATGCAGCCATATTGTTTGTGATATATATATATATAATCGCTGCTTCCTTACAGTGCTGCTTATTTTTCTCACTGGAAGTCTGTGGGTCAGTCCTGACCAGTTTGAACACAGTAGAATACCTTAACCACTTACCTATCAGGCACTTATACCCCCTTCGTGCCCAGGCCAATTTCCAGCTTTCAGCGCTGTCGCACTTTGAATGACAATTGCGCAGTCATGCAACATTGTACCCATATGAAATATTTATTATTTTTTTCACACAAATAGAGCTTTCTTTTGGTGGTATTTAATCGTCGCTGGGTGTTTTATTTTATGTTCTATGAAAAAAAAAAGCGAAAAAAATTTGAAAAAAAAAGTTTTTCTTTGTTTCTATTATACAACTTTGCAAACAGGTAATTTTTCTCATTCACTGATGTGCATTGATGAGGCTGCACTGATAGGCAGCACTGATGGGCACTGATAGCACTGATGAGGTAGCATAGATAGGTAGCACTGATAGGCGGCACTGATGATGCTGCACTGATAGGCGGCACTGATGATGCTGCAATGATATGCAGCAATGATGGGCACTGATTGGCAGCACTGATGGGAGGCACTGCTGAGCACAGGTGGGTGGCACTGCTAGGCTCTGATGAGCACAGGTGGGTGGCACTGCTAGGCTCTGATGAGCACAGGTGGGTGGCACTGCTGGACACTGATCATCATTGTCCTGATGATCAGTGCCGATTTGTTCTGACAATTGCCGGTTATCGGCAGTACTTTTCTCACGCTGTGACAGCGTGAGGAAAGTGCAGCCAATAACCAACAACTGTATTTATCCGATAATCTGCTATGTCATTGGACACAGCTGATTAACGTGGTAAAAGGCCGCTGTGATTGGCCTTTTACCACATCACATGATCAGCTGTGTCCGTAGGACACAGCGATCATGGAGATCGCTGGGTGCATGTCATATGACGCCCTCCCAGGACTGGACCACTGCGCTATAGCCATCATTCGGCTATAGCACAGTTGCCAAGTGGTTAAACCACTTGCCTTCTGGGCACTTTCACCCCCTTCCTGCCCAGGCCAATTTTCAGCACTGTTGTGCTTGACTATTGTTCAGTCATGCAACACTGTACCCAAACAAAAATGTTATAATGTTTTGAGACATATAGAACTTTCTTTTGGTGGTATTTAATCACCACTGTTTTTTTTACTTTTGCTAAACAAATGCTAAAGGACCGAATTTTGGAAAAAAAAAGTTTTCTTAGTTTTTTTTTATTCTCTTTCACTAATATGCACTGGTGGGGCTGCACTGATGAGGAGGCACTAATAGGTGGCACTTACAGGTATCACTGATGGGCACTGACATGTGGCACTCATGGGCACTGATAGGTGGCAATGACAAGCACTGATAGGTGGCCCTGATTGGCACTGATGAGTACTAATATACTGCACTGATGAGGAAGCACTGAAGGGCATTGACAGGCATCACTGATGGGCACTGATAGGCATGACTGATGGTCACTGAAAGGCAGCATTGATGGACACTAAGAGGCATCACTGACATCATATGGCGTTCTTCCAGAACAAGAGAGCTCCCGTCCATCCGTCATTTCCCAATATGGCGGGCAGGAGGCAGTTAATGAAGGCCACAGATGGATAGGCATCTCACTGAGAATAATGAGCAAGGGGTATTATTGCCCCTTCAAATTAAAATAGTTCATTGTTTCCCTCCTGCCCTTGTTTAGCATAGAAATTAATAATAAGCAACCTCACCTTGTCAAATCAGCATGGGGGAACCACTCCCAAAAATGTGTTCTTTTTTTTTTGCCTACAGAGAGAGAGACACCTCCTTTATACTGACAACTGCAGAAATAACTGCTACTTAGGCTCATCTGGGTCAGTCAGATGTGATTGAGCGTGGTTGGGTTACTATTCACCTGTCAGTGTCTCATTGAATCTGCTCTTCGTTTACTGTATATGCTCGCTGTAGAATTTGCTGGTGTGATTTTGCACTTCCCTGTCAGATCTGCCGCTCTTATTTCCTGATCGGCTACTAGGTTTACACCCACTATACTGTGATTGGTTAAGGACCAATTGTTTGGTCACCATTTTAGATTTTTTTTTAAAGGAGAGTATCTGGTCTATGTATTTGGGTTCCATGTATCAAGAAATTGAACACTCTGGGATGTTTCACTTCAGAACATGTTTGTAAAAGTCAGTGTTCTGCCATTTTTGCAAGCTACAGCTTGCTAAGTTTTGACAACTGACAAACCTATCACATATTCTGCTTTATCGTGTCTGTTTGAATAAGCTGGCATTTTGATAAAGCTCACATTGTCAATTTTGACGTACACATGGAGGTAACAGAATGGAAATATTTGTGGGGAGTGCAAGGCTGAGAGTTAGTCATCTTATGACATGTAGCCTTGATGTCTCCATGCATAAACCATAGTCTGATTTATTTCACATGACAACTAAAGAAGGTTACAGTGTTTTTCAGTATGTGGAATCTGATAAGGTTTTTAAAGCATGCTATGCTGCATATTAAATAAATAAAAGCTTGTGTGACAGTGAAATAGTACCCGCTCATATGGTAAGCATGCTTCTTTAATTTCAATAACCAATCGTTTTAAACTGCAAGCTTTCTAGAAATGTATGATAAATAATTTTTACTTATGTTTTACATGTCAAAAGCTCTCTATAAATAAATCTTTTAAAAAATGTGAGCCCAGTTGATTTTCTGTTCTGTAATCTCACTAAAGGACAGCACAACTAAGTATTTTCTGGTTGTTCCAGGAAATAGTATGTGTACTTATGAATGTAAATTAAAGACCTTAGATTGTATTCCCCTTGAGAATTAGAGAGTGATGTGAATGTACAATATGTATATGTAATGTGCTGCGTAAATTGACAGCGCTATATGAGTACATGAAATAAATAAGTACTAAAATCAGAAACAGGCAGGCAGTTTGAAATTGCGGAGAAGGTCAGCAGCATAAAGCTCACCACACACTTTACAATCTGACTGTACAATCTCCTTTGGATTTACCAACAACTATGTAGTGCAAGGACCTGCCTGATTGGATGCAAATGAATTGGATAGTTTAGGTAGGTCCTTATATTTCATAGTTTGTGTTAAATTTAAATTAGATATTGTACAAAGATTTTAAGGTCAGGTTGTGAAGTGGTGATATTTCTCATCTCATGTTTCTTGTAGATTATGCATAATGTGTTTTGGTTTTTCATCTTTCTTATTGCATGCTATTTGCTGTGATCTTGATACATACTCTTTTGTCTCTCAGATACCCTGTACTCTACCTGCTCCCAGCTTCTGTTATGTCCTTGCTTTAAGATATGATGAGGACAGTGGCAGCATCAAACCAGGAGATACCGTTTCTGATCTATACCTGCCTCCTGTCATTCACAGTCTTGATGAAATTTTGCAGGTAACCATCCACTTGGCCTTTATATAGTGTTTGGGTTTTGAAAACAATAAGGAATGTGGCATATTATTATTATTATTATTTATTATTATTATACAATGTTTATATAGCGCCAAAAGGTTTGCTCAGCGCTGTACATTAAAGTGGGCGGGCAGAGCATGTAACAATACAATACACGAGGGGTTCGAGGGCCCTGCTCTTTTGAGCTTACAATCTAGGAGGGAGGGGGTAGAGGTACAGGAGGAAGTGGCTGTGGGGGATGGAGTGGTAGGAGGAGTGGAGGAGAACAGCTGTTAGGTGAGGGTGGGGTAGGCTTCCCTGAAGAGATGGGTTTTCAGGGTGCGCCTGAAGGTGAGGAGGGTAGGTGACAGTCTGATGGATTGGGGTAGGGAGTTCCAGAGGATGGGGGAAGTCCTGGAGAAGTCCTGCAGTCGAGCGTGGGAGGAGGAGACCAGGGAACTAGAGAGTAGGAGGTCTTATGAGCAGCGAATAGTACGGGTAGGGTGGTATTTGGGTATCAGGTCAGTGAGGTAGTTTGGGGCAGCGTTATGAATAGCTTTGTATGTCAGAGTTAGTAATTTGAATTTAATACGTTGGGCAATCGGGAGCCAGTGAAGGGATTGGCAGAGGGGGGTGGCAGAAGTGGAGCGGTTGGTGAGGTGGATGAGTCTAGCCGCTGAGTTCAGGATAGACTGGAGCGGGGATAGCGTGTGTTGGTGTAGGCTGGTGAGAAGGGAGTTGCAGTAGTCTAGGCGTGAGATAATAAGAGAGTGTACGAGTTGTTTAGTGGTGTCTGGGGTGAGGAACATACGTATCTTGGAGATGTTGCGGAGGTGGAGCCTGCATGAATTTGATAGTGATTGGACATGAGGTTGGAAGGAAAGGTTTGAGTCCAGGGTGACACCTAGGACTTTGGCATGGGGGGGGTTAGATTGATGGTGGCGTTGTTAGTCGTGATGGAGAGGATGGGGGGGGAGTGAGGGCTGGGGGGAAAACTAGGAGCTCGGTTTTGGAAAGGTTTAACTTGAGGAAATGGAGTGACATCCAGTCTGATATGTCGTTTAGGAGGGTGGTGATGCTGGTGGAGAGTGAGGGGGTGAGGGGTGGAGAGGTAAATTTGTGTGTCATCGACATAGAGGTGATAGTTGAAGCCGTGGGAGTGTATCAGTTTGCCAAGGGAGGAGGTGTAGATGGAGAAGAGAAGGGGTCCGAGGACAGAGCCTTGGGGGACCCCAACAGAGAGGGGGAGGTGGCAGCGTTATAGGTAACGCTGAAGGAGCATTGGGATAGGTAAGAGGAGAACCAGGAGAGAGCAGAGTCCCTGATGCCAAGGGAGTGTAGTTTAGTAAGGAGGAGGGGGTGGTCGACTGTGTTGAAGGCCGCGGAGAGGTCGATAAGTAGGAGGACTGAGTAGTGGCTATTAGCTTTGGCGGTTAGCAGGTCGTTAGTAATTTTAAGTAGGGCGGTTTCGGTGGAGTGTAGGGGACAGAAGCCAGACTGTAGTGGATCAAGAAGGTTGTTGTCAGTGAGGTGGGCGCTTAGGCGATTGTAGACTAAGTGCTCAAGGAGCTTTGAAATGAGTGGCAGCAGGGAGATGGTTCTAAGGTTGTTCGGGTCAGTGGGGTCCAGGGAGGGTTTTTTGAGTATGGGGATGATGCGCACGTGCTTTAGGGGGAGGGGAATGCGCCAGTAAAGAGGGCGAAATTGTAGATGTGGGTGAGGGAGCGAGTGATCGAGGAGGGGGGTGACCGGAGGAGTTGTGAGGGGATAGGGTCCAGGGGGCAAGTGGTGAGGCGGGCTTCTGTGAAGACCTTAGTGACCACCTCAGCGGTAGCAGGGCTGAAGGAGCGGAGTGTTGGGGAGGTTATAGTGTGCAGGTGTGGTGGGGTCGTTTGAGACATTTTGTATGGTCATTCTGCCAGGGTTGAAGCGGTCGGTCGGGGTCTGATGTTATGTGTGGTTAGGGTGCCAGGGAGTCTAGGGCAGCTGACAGTGAGTCGTTGTGCGCAGTAGTGTTCAGGTCAGGGCATGGCAGTGGAAGGATACTTTCGTACAGATGGTCAGCTGCCGAGTGGAGAGGGGCCAGGTTCAGGTTTCTGAGGTTACAGCTGGTGATGGTTTGACGTTTTTTTTTTTGGGGGGGGGGGGAGTTAGAGGATGGGGAGACGGAGAACGTGAGGAGGTGGTGGTCAGAGAAAGGGAAGGGGGTGTTAGTGAAGTTGTGGAGGGTACAGAGGTGGGAGAAAACGAGGTCCAGGGTGTTCCCATCAGTGTGGGTGGAGGATTGTGTGAGTGCGAAAGAGGAGGAGCTGGGAAGTAGCCGGGTTGTTGACGTTGATGGGGATATTGAAGTCCCCAAGGATGATGATCGGTAGCTCAGAGGAGACGAAGAAGGGAAGCCACTCGGCAAAGTCGTCCAGGAAGCGGGATACGGGTCCGGGAGGCCGATAGATTACTGCAATCCTCAGAGGGGTGGGAGAGAAGAGCCGGATGCAGTGGGCCTCGAAGGAGGAGAAGGATAGAGAGGGGAGGTTAGGGAGGACCTGGAAGGTGCTCAGCGGTGACAGGAGCATGCCGACCCGACCACCTCTGCGGCCACTCGGTCTGGGTGAGTGGGTCCAGACGAGCCCTCCATAGATGAGTGCTGCATATAGTTAAGTAAATATAATTTCTTATTCCTGCAGTACAGGACACAGGTTATTCATAGCCTAATTGGTTATATACTGTCATCTTCATGTGACTGGACACTGGCAAACAAAGTTGTTAGGACAGCCTCATGAAACTTCTCCCACTGCCACAACTTATTTTGCTAATGCCCTTAGGTTATAGGCGTCTTCTCTCTAATAAGAGAATTCAATGACTTCTCTACCTGTGGAATTTTCTTTGTGGATGCTTCTATCAAGATTCTAAATGCACCGTGGCATGCCAGATGGCTGAGCCTCTGGGAGCATACTTGGACCATAAAGGATCCTGCATTAGGCATGCTGTAAAAGGGGTTGAGTCAGCCACAGGGTGATATACAGGTCAAGGGCTGAGGTCCATCAGCTAGTGAGTCCCTGTATCTGAAGACCTCCTCGGGGGGAAGTCTGCCTGCAAAGGACTAAGACTGAGGGATGTCCCCTTTTTTCCTGAGGCATTTGTGACCATTCACCATGGTGTGGATAAGTCGGGACCTTGCACTTTAAACCTGGGTCCTAGAGTGTCCTACTCCAATTCCTTGTGAGGTTTGCATGGAGTATGGCCACAGCTTTCTCCATCCTTCTCTGGAAAGGTTAGTCAGGTTAGCTCTAAAGGACAATAGTATGGATTCCCACAAATGGTATCCCTCCTCCCCTCTTCTGATACCTCCATCACTTTCTTGGGTGCTCCCCACACCTCCAGTTTAAACAGGAAAGTGTTATTTGCCTCCATTTCTAAGTTTATGGGGAAGATATTTATTCTTTAGAAAACCTCTAAACCCCACTGCCTCTCCTCGTGTCTATTTCTGACTCTGCCATTGCTATTGCATTGGTCACAGACTAAGAGGCGGTGGAGGAAAAGGGAAAGGATTCCTCATCTAAGGGATTCAGTGCAGGAGGAGTCTTTTTGCTGCTATCTCTCCTAAACTTAGACACACCATATCAGCCCTTATTGGCACAGCACCTGCTACAGGTCCTGTCTGCATCCTTTTTTATTTACTCCCTTGTAGAGGAGGTTAGCACAGTCACTGGCCTAAAAAAATGTCTGTCTCCACTAAGAGTTTTACCCAGCAGTACCATATATAGGAGTTGTTTCTCAAAAGCTAGAAGGCCCCTGTTGTGGACCCTGCATTTTCCTGCCTTAAAATGACTTTTAAAGAATATGTAAACCCAACATTTCATTTTCCTGATATGTGCCTGCTGTGCCATGTACTTGTATGAAAAAATGATCCTGTTCTTTGTATTGTTTCCTTGTATGAAACACTTGGTGTTCCTGCCAGTTTTCCTATTAAAAACTGTTCACACTAAACAGGAGAACACACCGTGGTCAGTTCTCTAGCTATGCTGGGAACTGATCCTGCTCTCCCCCAGTTATCAGACATCTGCAGACAACTTCCTTGCACAGCCTTTCACTGGGAAGATTAGTGTACTGCTGTTTCTCCTACCCCAGCTCTTATGGGGCAGAGAACAGAGAGTATGTGATCATTTATAAAAAGGGGGGGGGGGAATGGTGTATATAATGGTTTTTAAATCTATACAAAAATATTTTGCCTTTCGTTTCTATTTTAAACTGAATGGATTGTTTTACAAGGTGAGGGTTTGCAATGATGTTAGTCCCTGTGGAAGACATTTCTGTTTTTAGGGCCTCAGTAGTTCATAAGGTTCCTTTTGCTCTATTTGGTTTGGCTATAGAAACTGTGGTTACCTCCATGAAAGTTTGTCAGACCTTGCTGTCTGATCTAAGTGTATTACCCGAGATGCTGGTTCTATTCCTTTGGATCCATCTGTCCTTAAGCAACTGGAGATATTACCTGTAATTTTACACTACTGCGTGGTTTTATTGACAGTCATGCAGCATCAAATATCCAGGATTAGTCTTTTGTTCATCCAAATGCACAAGATCCTGTGGCTCAAGTGTTGCTCTGTGAAGTAAGCAGTGCCTGGAGAAGGATGCCCTTCGCAGGGGATTCCTTTATGAAGCAAGTCATTGTTTTAGGAGTACCTTTTTGCCCAGTAAAAAGAAAGCAAAAATCCTTGCAGGTAAGCCCTTGACTCCCATTTTCCAGGAAGCTTCCTTTTATCCCTCTCATGCCTCAAAGTCCATGCCCAGCACCCATTTCCACCATAAGACTTTGAGCACCAAGCCCGACTCCAAATCCACCATGCCGTACTTGGATTCCTCACTTCAAATCAGAGGGACGTCAGTTGGCCTTCACAGCCACCTGGTCATGGGATACCTTGGACATTAGGTCTCAGTGAGTCATCTTCAGGAAATATAAAATTATGTTTCTCTGTCTCCACCCTGCTTCATACCTTAAAATCTTC